TCTTGACAAGCTTTACAAAAGTCTCTTAAGCAAGAAAGATAATTAACTTAGTATGAAAAAAGTTTATCTTGGGCAAACACCACATTCACACCATAGTAAATTTATATAGTAATCTGAGTCACATTTTACTAAAATTATGCACCAGTTGACTAGAGAATCATCAATTAATATTAAGGTGAAGCTTTATAGTAAAGATATACAAATGTTGTATTTGTTATATAATTTTTACTATACATAGGTTATAATAGTGCATTCAGGGTTTTAGATTTCTTTTTATATTTTTTCTTTTTTGCAATTAGTGTTTCTTTTTTCTTTTCTGTTTTTTCTTTTTCTGGTCATTTTTGTATTTTTCTTTTAAAAAATTTCCCTCTTTATCTTGTGTCCCTTGAGAAGAAGGAAAAATTAGAAGAGAAAAAAGAGATTCTAACACAGTATACGACAGCCTGTTAATAATCGAGGGGATATTGTTTCAACGATTAAAATCTGAAGTAAGTTTTGGATTTCAAGTGAGACTAATAGTTGTTATAGCAGGTTGTATTGGGTTTAACCTGGTGAGTTTTTATTAAGTTAGAGCTACAAGTTGTAAGAATTTAGTATATTTGTATATATAAATTATATAATAGCTCATATAAATAAAGACAGGATTGCTTAAACATAAAAAAGTTGTAAAGCTTGTTGAAAAGTATTTAATAGTTATTAAATTATTCAAATTGGCTAGTAGATGCTAAGATATCATTAAAAAATATGACAACTATATAAAATTCTATATAAATAATAGTATTGTTTATATAGAGGTTTTATATAGTTGTTAATATATTTCAATCTTGGATATTACCAAATTTGGACAATACAGATCACATCCTTTTTTGTACAATTAGAAAATTCTTAGAACTTGCAAAATAGTTTTAAACAAAAAGATAGAGCTAAAAAAATAAGTTATAGTTATTTAGCAAGATTTTCTTTTCCACAAAACTGGTTTACACTATATAGAAAAAAACAAACTTTTCATTTAAATTTTTAGAAAATTGTTAAAAAATTTGGAGATTTATTTATAGATGCTGGTGAAATATAGTGAAATGTGGTGGAATAATTTCACCACTATTGGTGAAATTGGTGGTAAATTGGTGAAATTGGTGAAATTAATTTCACCAGCATCTATAGATTTATCTAAACCCAGTGTTGCAGATTACCAAACAACAAAACAAATATATACATATAAAAGTAAACAATTAACAAAAACCAAAAATAAATAAACAAAGTTAACAAAAAAATAAACACAAGATGTGTAAACAAATACTAAAGTAAATAGTTTAGAAAATTTGAAAAGTAAATAAACAGGACACATACAGTTATATTCTAAAAAACTCAAAATGAAAGTACTTCAACTTTTATAGACAAACAGATATTAAAATCATAAAAATTGACTCAATTAAAAATTTAGCAACAGCAATACAAGAAAAAGTGCAAGAAATTTATACTAAACAAAGAAGAATTATACTCAAAGCAGATATAAACATAGTACAATATCTTGGTTTTAAAGACCCGGAATTTATTGCGACAATTTGAAGTACAATAGACTATTATAATTAGTTACAGATAAAGAAAAATTAAAGCAAATCACTTTCAACAGAAGAACTGATTTTTTTTTTTTTTAAATCTTTGACAGTCTTGCCAGTGCTCAATTTATTGGAACTATATTTCAGGTGAGAGCTAAGCTCTCTTGAACAATACATATATCATTCATAACCAAAAAACAGAGAGTCTCGTGATTGCGAGCCTAATATCACCCAGCTGCGATAAACGTGCCCTACTGCGACTTGTCGCACCAACCTGTATACAAGTTAGATAAACTTTGTTAGCCCATCAAAGCTTTTCCCTTCATATCTCCTTTCTTTACCAAGAGCAAAAGAAAGTGATGATCTCATACAAAACCACCAATACTATCAAGAAAACAAACCGAAAAACTAACTAAAAAAAACAAGTAAAACGAAGGGGTATTTTTAAAGGAAACAAAAAGAGGATACAATAAGATGTAAAAAAAAGAAATACAAAGAGAAAAGTCTGAGGGCTGACAAAGGGGAGAACTACCTCTATAAAGAAATAATATAGAGGAAACGAAATAAAAAAAACAAAACAAGAAGAAATACACTATTATAACCCATGCTAGGTTTAAGAAAAAATTTTATAACAACTGCAATATTTGTATATCTCGACTATAATATAAGACCTTTATTATCCGACTACCGACCACCTCCGGATGTCTCTTATGCTAGAGACCCAATCCCAGTCACGTAGAGGTCCCATATCCATAGACTACGTTGCGTATCGTATCTACCAATAAACAAGACACGTGGTTGCATTCCTGAGTACATCCGAATTTGGGAGATAAACAATGCCGATCTTTTGGAGAGGGTAAGCTGAATCGCCCACTTTTTGTCGAAAATTTTGGAGAAGACCAACAGGACCAAGAGAGACTTAAAGAAAGGACCACTAGTACCCAAAAAAAAGAAAGTATTTTATCCTTAAAAGAACCAACGACTAGTAACCCTTTTTCTAAGAAAAGGGGGGAGCTACTGTACTTAAATGGTAAGTGATAAACTCTAAACTTGTCGGCAAGTAGTGTATAAGAACTACTTCTAAACGACAAGTGCCGTGCCAGCAGTGAGTGATAAACTCTGAAGAAGTTAGCAGGTAGCGTATGAGAACTACCTCTAAATAACAACTGCCGACTTATGGATTCCAGTTTTACGCTCTCTATTACTTACTAGTTACTGTTTTTACAAAAATTGTTTAGGAAATTTGGTTTTAGTGATCATCGAAAAGAGTTGTCTATTATTTATGATATTTATAGTATTTAAAGGTATCAAATATTAATTGTTATTTACAAAAGAAAAATAAGACAAATATTTTTAAGTTAAGTATATATTGAGACATGTATAAATAATGATATACTTATCTATTTGGTAATAGTTTGATTAGATGTGCTTGAATTTGAAGGATTGTTTAAAAGGTAATTCACCAAATCAGTAACTTTCGGGCGAGAATTGGTTTTAAGATACGGTTTAGGGTTAGGTGTAGTTTTTTTATGTTGGGTGCTTCCTTTGACTCTTGTGGCTATAGTTTGAGCAATAGTGGGGGCATTTTGCTGATTTGTATCATTCTGATCTTTTGATTCCCATGAAAATTGCACTGGGCTGCTTTTTGTAATCGTATTTAATTTTTGGTATTCCAGAAATGAAACATTTCGTATATGAACTATGTTATCATCATCAGTAATTATGAGCTCTCTATTAACATAGATTACAGAATTTTTTTTTATAACAGCTGTCGTATTCGTCAAATATTGCGCAGAGGTAGGATGATAACACGTTAATTTAAGATTATTATAACCTTAGTCGACATAATTCTTAGTCAAAACATTAATGACTACATCTTCATTATCGATTTTCGGGTCTTTTTGTACTAACACCATCATGTTAATTAATATTGGGAACACAGGTAAATTAAGGGTATCAAAACGAACAATATCATTCAAGATAATCTTTTTTGTTAAAAAAAAAAAAAAAATTAACCTAAACCATCATTAATAAAAATTAGGCAAATTAGATTTTTAAAAACATTAACTTTTGTAGTCGATATCTTGATGGATTTTGAAGCTAGTTCGATGTTTTATTAATATTCAAATCGAATTATTAAAATAGCTTAGAATTCATCGAGATATGTATTACAAAAGTTAAAGATTTTTTTAAAATATAATTTATAACAATAGTAATTTATACTTTTAAGATAGAATATTTTTCATTATTTTGGCCGGTGCCTTCAATGATACGAAAATTTCCAGTAGCAAGCACTACATCCTTATCTTCAAATTCAGGTAAATTTAATTCTTGAATAGTATCATAGTGATAAAATCCAGTTAAAATAACATTCAAAGGGGAGTCTAAACTTCGGGATCTTACAATACTCAAAGCTTCGACAATCAAAAAACTTTTATTAGGAACTAATTTTTTTTTGGTAACTTGTCACATAGCATAATATGGTTACAGAAGCTGGCATTTTTTTTTGATTTTGGTTTGTTTTGTTTTGGAAAAAATGAATGAGGAAAAAAATACGACTATCTATCAAATTTATATAATTTATTATGATTTTTAATATGGAAAAATATCAATTCAGGGTGACTAATTAGGAAGGTTGTGTTTGAGATATGGATTGTGTTATGGCAGCACCCCAAAAGGTGGCATGAGATACGAACACAATGGCGGCAAGACAATATGTACTAATTGG